CGCTGGCGGTCCGGGCCGAATGGAGAGGCACTAACTGTAAGGAGAAACCTTGCAACGGATCACGGTTCTCAAAGTGTGGTCCCTGGAATGGAGGAGACGTGAAAACTGTTTTTCTATCCCTCGCCGGTTTGGCTCAGTAGGTAGAGCATCAGTTCGATTCCGGTCGAGAGCACATGCGGGGGTTGATCTACACTGGAGGTCGTGGAGGAGGCAGGCGATCAATAATTCATCAATAATTCTCACACACAAAAAACACAACACACCACTATTTCAATAAAAGTAGATGTTATTTACCTTTTCTACTCTCATTCGCTCACTAATGTAGTGTTTTCCAGTGATTCATCTGGCGTGTGGGGGACGCCGTCGCCATAGTAACTCACTAGTGATCATAGGGTATATAAATGGCGAATCACTATGTTGGAAACCTCAAACCAGTATAATACTGTATACAAACTATATTTTAATAAAAATAAAATCTTGAAGCTCTTTGGGGTCCTCGGTAATTTTTAAGAGTGTAGAAAGATGTTTAAGACTAAAAGTAAAATGATCCGGCATATGATGTGAAGGAAATCCACTCGTAAGTATTGACGCAAGATAGGAATTGACACCTTTCAAAAGAAGTTTCAGTTATGCAAGATGAATAATAAGAGATCTATATACCGTAGTGCTTACAGTTAATACTACAATAGATTGTATAATGGCAATTTTTTAAAAATGAGAATATTGCTTTTTGGAAACAAACTTAATGGAGGAATATGATATGCAAGGTTGTATAGACAAAATTGCAAAAACAATAATGGAAGACATTAAAATAAAAATAAAAACTTTGGACTACTGAGATAGAAAAACATAGGAAATACCCTCCAATCACATACTCCCAAGACAATCGCTTATAGAATTTAATACATAAACTAAAAAATACATCAAAGGTGCAGGTGGGGAAGGCCAGTAAATAGTGTCTTGAAGCACCAAGTGCTAAAACATGAAAGTGTCAGTTATTACAGTACATATTTTAAATTACCAACGGAACAAAACATTGAAATTTTACAATAATGCCTTATGTATATAATAATGCCTTATTATCAAATGTGATAAAACAATGACACTAGATTAAAGCCTTTTTTTATTTTAAAAAAAGTTTTTACTTTTTAATTTTTTCTTTTTACTCACTACCTAAAAATTACTAAGAGACAATAAAGTAATGAATGTTTAGCACCTCTGTTTGTCTCATTGGAGCTTTCTTAAAGTTTCTATAGAAGACTATTCAAAGTGGACCTCGCTGTTGAGTTCTTTATTTACATACCTATTTTCTGGGGTTGATTGAAAAGAGATTCTATGGTAGGACTCCAAACATGTACCGGTAAACAGTGAAGAAACTAGGAAGTCTGGTTTAATCTCTTGCCCGGTATTAATAAAAGCTCGTTTTTTAAAAATCAGGTTTACTGAAGCATAACTTGCATACAGTAAAATTCACTCTTTCCAGCATATGGTTCCATGAGTTTTGACAAATGTAAACAGATGTGTAACCACCAAAACTACTTTTCTTCCTCCCGCCAATTCCCCACCAATTTTCAGGGGTGAGAACCTTCTTTTCTGCCAATGGCCATTTCGATGTTTATAACATTATTTGAGGGCCATACAAAATTACAAAATTATGAATTAGCCTGCTATATTTGGTCAAACATTTAATTAACTTACCCCTAATGCCTTAGCAGGGCCAGACCAAATAATTTTGAGGGCCTTATATGGCCCTCCCCATCCTTTTTTTTTTTTTTTTTTTTTACTTTTTAAAAAATATTTTATTGATTTTTTTTTTTTTTTTTTTAACAGAGAGGAAGGGAGAAGGATAGAGAGTTAGAAACATTGATCAACTACTTCTTGCACACTCCCTACTGGGAATGTGCCCGCAAACTAGATACATGCCCTTGACCGGCATCAAACCTGGGACCCTTGAGTCTGCAGGCTGACACTCTATTCACTGAGCCAAACCGGTTAGGGCCCTCCCCATCCTTGGAAGATAAATACTTGGATGCCAGTAAGAAGAAAAAAACAAATCTATATTTTACTTCCCACTCTTAAGTTCTAGTTTGACGAAGAGCTAGATATTTCTGAAAACAATAAAAGAAAAATCCAGAAATGTAATTACCCTCACTTTTAAAGTAGAATTTTATACTCAAAGTATTTCTCTCTCTTTGCCTTTCTTTCGAAAAAAAGGATGAAATTAGCGATGACTGGGACAACCAGACATTGTCTCCCCCTGAAATCTTAATATGAAGTATCCAACATCACATTGTATGCAGGTTTTTTTTAAAGGTTAAACTTTAATCACACCTTTAAATTTAACTTCTAGTTCATATGAATTAGGGAGTAAGCTCATAAGGATGGAAAAGGTAAACCTGGATGTTCTGCAAAACACTAGCTCTGGTTCTCTTTGTCATTAAAACAAGGAGCTTTTAAAAGGCTTTTTTTTTTTTTTAAAGGACCGTTGCAAATGGAAAGACTTGAGTTGCATGTTACCTATATTCAGCACATGGTCCTGGAGTTGATCCTGATCTGGACATAGAGATATGAAGGGAATTTGGAGGACACATGGGGAAACTTTTTCTGAATATATACTGCAAATTAAATGCTAAAAAGAATGATTAATTTCATTATATTAGTCGTGATAATATTCTGCTAAGTATATGATCATTTTTGAGATACATATGGAAGTGTTAATGAGAGTGTCATACTTTCTGTTATTTAAAATACTTCAGAAAAAAAGTTATGAGTTAAAGGGGGGGGAAATGGATATGAGAAGGTAAATTCCATCACAAAAATTTTCAACTTTGTAACAGTAGGAACTCTAAAACTAAGGTAACTCTAGGAGGAAGGTGGGAAAGATTTGCAATAAAAATGATTAATCCTTAAAATAAAAATAACTAAAAAGGCAAATCAATTAAGTTCCCAGTTCTCAGTAAACTGCTATTGAAAAATGTTTGGTTTCACTTACATCATATTCAATGAAATGGAAATTAAACTACCATGAGATATTATCTTATACTGACTAGCGAATCTCTATATCCTTATAGTACTTTCTCATATAAATTATTTTTCTAGCGTTGGTACATCAGCTTTATTTTTATTAGTATTTTATCAGTCTATTTTTTTATCTCTTGACTTTCAACCTTTTTAAAAATAAATATTTTTTATTGACTTCAGAGAGGAAGGAAGACGGAGAGAAAGATAGAAACATCAATAATGAGAGAGAATCACTGATCGGCTGCCTCCTACATGTCTCACATAGGGAATTGAGCCTGAAACCTGGCTATATGCCCCTCCTAGTTCATAGGTTGATGCTCAACCACTGAGCAACACTGGCCTGGCATGATTTTCAACCTTTTATTTTTTTAAAATATATTTTATTAAAAAATATATATATATATATACACATATATATATATTTTTTTTATTTATTTATTAACTTTTTATAGAGAGGAAGGGACAGGGATAGAGAGTTAGAAACATCCATGGGAGAGAAACGTCCATCAACTGCCTTCTGCACACCCCCTACTGGGGATGTGCCCAAAACCAAGGTACATACCCTTGACCAGAATTGAACCTGGGACCCTTCAGTCCAGAGGCCTACACTCTATCCACTGAGCCAAACCGGTTAGGGCGATTTTCAACCTTTTAATGTCATTTTTCATGAAGTGTATCTGTTGAAAATAGCTGAAATTATTTTTAATATAATTTTATAGTATTTTCCTTTCAATAGGTGAGTTTAATCTATTTTTCAATTACTGTTGTTCCTGATAAATTTGGATATATTTCTCATATCTTTTTCTGTGCTTTTTCTTTACTTCTTTTTCTCCTTTCCTAGTTTCTGGATTGATTAAGCTTCCTTTATTCCCATGGTTTAGTCCATTGGTTTGGGACTTACACATTCAATATCTGTTATTTTAGTGGTCACTCTTAAAAATTTACATGCCTATTTTGAAGTCCAAAGTTAGTATCTTTAGCATCCTCCCAAACAATACAAGATCATAAAATGCACCATTTCTAATCACTCTATCTCCTACATGATCATTGTTTAGTGTCTGTTCCTCATTGTCTTGAAACCCCATAAATAAATTGTTCTTAACCAGCATTATTTATTTAGGTTTACTAACATATTTGTCAATCTCTTTATCACCACTTCTGGCATCATACCTTCCTTTTAGGTTCATTTCACTCATCCCATTAGCAAAATCATTAAACACTAAAGAGGCTCCAGGGAAATAAATCTATCCCACAGTGCTGATATCAGGATTAAACAAAGTTATTTTTTGAATGTGCTTTATATGTTGCGAAGCACTATAAAAATATAAGAGATTTATTTTTTGTGCATTGAATATTTTCAGAGGGGTGATCTTATAAAATGTAATAAAAGCTAAAAAAAAAATTATCACACAATTTCCCTAACATAAAGAGATATTTTAGAAATGATACAATGAACTTTTTAAAAAATATATATTTTATTGATTTTTTACAGAGAGGAAGAGAGAGGGATAGAGAGTTAGAAACATTGATGGGAGAGAGACATGGATCAGCTGCCTCTTGCACACCCCCCACTGGGGATGTGCCCGCAACCAAGGTACATGCCCTTGACCGGAATCGGAATCGAACCTGGGACCTTTCAGTCCGCAGGCCGACGCTCTATCCACTGAGCCAAACCAGTTTTGACTACAATGAACTTTTTTTAAAGTATTTTATTTTATTTTATTTTATTTTTTCAGCTAAGACAGGAGATGATTTATTGTGCACGTTACATTCAGCCACAACTGAGAACAGAACTAGTCCAGAATGTCACGGGTCCAGGGCAAAGATCCAAAAGAGACTGTTTTTGAAAGAGCAGGATGGGTCTCTCAAAAGGCGGCCGCGCATTCAGATGGCCCGTATGCATGTTCCAGGTCCCACGGAGACGTTCTAGAGTCAGCAAGCAGGCAGCCCGACAGCTTGGACCGGGCCCCTGGCCTCTGGCTTCCCCGGTGCACAGCTTGCGATTTGCTTGGACCTCTGCCTCATCTTTCTTCTTTTGCGCTTCAGCCTGCGCTTTCGCTTCTTCCTCCACTTGGCTCTCATGGCACAGCGGTTTCTAAGAAGAAGGCGCTAAGGCCGAGAGCTGGAAAGTACTTTATAAGTTGCGAAACACAGTTAAAATATAAGAGATTTATTTTTTTGTGCATTGAATATTTTCAGAGGGGTGATCTGGTAAAATGTAACAAGAGCTAAATTATTGCACACGTTCCTTAGCATAAAGAAATATTTAGAAATTATACAATATTTTAAAAATGATAAAGTTATGGAATGCTGGAAACAACCCAAATGGTGAAGTAAATTATGATACATCACTCTCATCTAATAGCAGGTAACCTTGAGAATAAACAAATAGGTACATGAAGAATTAAGCAAAAAGATAATTAAGCAAAAAGATTGCATATATTCATTGGTTTACAACTCTGTAAAGCTATCTGTGTGTTAGTAAAGATTGGAAGAAGTAATAAAAAAAAAATAAAAATAAATAAAAAAAACCACTGATAGTTGCGAGGCCAAAAGGAAGAAGTTCTGTTATTTTCCTATAGTGTTATTTACTCAATAAAAATTTATTTTAAACATATGCTTGAGGATTGAAAAGATGGGGGTTAGATTAAGATAAAAAGAAGAAAGAGATACTATCATTTTACATTTAGTCACCAAGAAAATTTTGTGGCATCATGCCCAGTAGATTGATTAAAATCGGTTCATAGAAAAGTCACTTGACCTTAAGTGACTACACAGTTAGTAAAAACCACAGGTATCAATTTTTAAAAATGAGTTGCCAATTTGGAAGGTTTTAGGGCAAAAGGATGAATGTTACTCATACCTTTTCAACATCTTTTTTTCTAAATGATGTAATTACTTATAATTCTTAATTCTGCGTACTGGTTGTTAATTTCTTTCTGTTCTCCTAAAATAATGTGGATTTTTAAAAATGCCATGGTAGTTCATATTGGCTTGGTCTCTAGCTTAACCTTAAAGTTTTGCTCTATCTTTGCATTAGGAGACCCATGACTCCTTGAATTTCTACAGTATTCATATTAGTTTGTTCAACAAATACAACCAAGTACCTGCTTATTCATTCAGTTATTTATTCAACAAGCATTAATTGAGTGCCTACAATAGGCTGGCCCTTGGGAATGAAGAGATCAATCAAATAAAATCCTTATTCTTAAGGAGCTCACAGTCTAGTGGTGAAGGCAAAGGTCCCAAGTCTATGACATTTATGGGATACAAAGTCTCTTTCATAATAATAATTTAAAAAATTATTTTTTTTCAATGTGCAATGTTATTTTTTTAATCTTCACCCAAAGACATGATTATTGATGAAAGAGAGAGAGAGAGAGAGAGAGAGAGAGAGAGAGAGAGAGAGAGAGAGAGAGAGAGAAACATTGATGTGAGGGAGAAACATTGATGGGTTGCCTTCCGTTCATGTCCTGATTGTCTCTCCCCGTCCCTGCCACCCTCTATAAAAATCAATGGAGCCCTACTGGCATGGCTCAGTGGTTGAGCATCGACCTATGAACCAGAAGGTCAGGGTTCAATTCCTGGTCAGGACACATGCCCGGGTTGCAGGCTTAATCCACGGTGTGAGCGTGCAGGAAGCAGCGGGTCAATGATTCTCTCTCATCATTAATGTTTCTCTCTCTCCCTCTCATTTAATCTCTGAAATCAATAAAAATATATTTTTAAAAATCAATGGAAAATATTCTTGGATGAGGATTAACAAAATAACAACAACAACAACAACTAGCCCTCCATTAGGGATCCACAACTATACTGTAAATCAGAGGCTGCAAAATGGTGCACTTAATGGTTTTTGAAAATATGACTTGCCAACATTTAAAAATCAGGAGATTATATGTATGATAAAGATTTCTGGCTTTGTTTGAAAAAGTTGATGATCTGCTGGGACCGGTTTGGCTCAGTGGATAGAGCGTCGGCCTGCGGACTGAAAGGTCCCGGGTTCGATTTCGGTCAAGGGCATGTACCTTGGTTGCGGACACATCCCCAGTAGGGGGTGTGCAGAAGGCAGCTGATCGATGATTCTCTCCCATCAATGTTTCTAACTCTCTATCCCTCTCTCTTCCTCTCTGTGAAAAATCAATAAAATATATTAAAAAAAAAAAAAAAAGAAAAGAAAAGAAAAGAAAAAGCTGATGATCTGGCAACATAAGGCCCTGGGTGTCACGTGGCAACAATCAGCTGGGGCTGTGTGGCACCTGCCACCTGTAGACAGGTCATACCTGCTGCAGTTTACAGGCCTTCCAAGTGTTCGAATCACCGGTGTCTAACCAAGAGTCCCAAACCTCAGCACAAACAAAACCAGACCTGCTACAGAAAGGTGCCCCTGATGTCTGACACCACTTTTATTTTTTATTTTTTTAAATATATTTTATTGATTTTTTTACAGAGAGGAAGGGAGAAGAATAGAGAGTTAGAAACATCGATGAGAGAGAGACATCAATCAGCTGCCTCTTGCACACCCTCTACTGGGGATGTGCCCGCAACCAAGGTACATGCCCTTGACTGGAATCGAACCCAAGACCTTTTCGGTCTGCAGGCCGAAGCTCTATCCATTGAGCCAAACCAGTTTCAGCGTCTGACACCACTTTTAACCTACCTGGGCAGAGCTCTAATTATATGCATGTAAAAGGCATGTCTTCCCCATAGCTGCCTCTGTTTCTCCCACAGAACTCTATCCAGCTTTGGGAAAGGGTTCTACATAGCCATTTGTGTTTGGTACCATCTGCCCTAGATGCTCAAGATCCTTCTAAAGTCAGGCTTCCAGGCAGCAATGCAGGCACACTCTGGGACCCTGACTGAAAACCTGCATTGAGGGTTTACAGCTCCACTATGTGTGCTCAGGCCTGGGAGCAGGAAGAGTGTGTTTGAGTAGTTAGGCCTCATTAGCTCCCTTCTGAAATTACAGGTCTGAGCCTGAGAGTCCTCTGCTCAGACCTGGCCCACCCAGGGTGCAAAAGGACATCCCCACCCTTGTTGGACACGAAGGAGAGGCCATGCCCGTTTATAGTGTCGTTGTGATGGATACTTTACTGGTCAACTTCACAGCATCCATAGCCCTCTGACTACATACCCACGACCCCCAATTTCTTAACACTTATATGAGTGTTAGCAATAGATGATGGGTAACCATTTCACAACCATTTCACCCCACAAAACATTTGGGTGGGATGAAAGCCCACTTCCAATTCCAGAGAGAGACAATCAGCCTATCCCATACCCCTGGCCACAGTCCAAGGGTGAACATGTATGTGCTCCTTTGTCATAAAGGGGCTGAATGCTAGGACTTCTGATTGACCAATCAGAAAAGCACAATATGCTTCCCACAGTGGGAGAGCTGTCTGAGAAGGGAATCAAGAAGAGCCACTGAGGCGAGCAAAACATAAAGGTGCCTCCACACTGGACCATTTGGTAATACGAGCTAATCAGTTCCCTGTATGGCTTCAACCAGTTTGGGTTTGGGTTTTGGTCACTGGCAACACAAAGGGTCCTCACCAGCACCCCAGTGAACACAACTTGAGCCAGCTCCGTTTTGATGATCTCTGCCCTAATCACCATCATCCCACCAGTATTTTCAATTTCATGTAAGGCAAGTCAATCTACAACTGTGATAGAATTCAGAAGACCTCAGGGGAAAAGAAAGTTCCCAATATTTGTGTATTTTAGCCTAAAATTCTATTTTCGTGGCTTATGCCATACTTCTCTCTCTCTTTTTTTTTTTCTTTTCTTTATGAATATCTTTTAAGAGGAAATTCAATCATCTGTGTTTAAGAAATGTAAATGTGGGGCAGTGATGTATCAACCCAGAGATTTCCTTTTGTATTAGAAAATGGAGTTGAAGGGGAAAAACAGGGATTTTTATTATTAAAAGATAAAAGTAAACTTGTTTTTTTTAAAGACACAAGGCATTGGAAACATTTAGTTTCACAGAATGCCATTATTAGACAGTCTCTATCTGATTGTTGGAAATTATTCATTTCCTCAAAGAGAGAGAATAAATTGGCTGGGGATACAATCTTACACAATTCACTTTCTTTGCCAAAGGCAATAGCTGAGCATTTCAGAGCCACGAGAATGCTTTTGTTTTTGACTTTTCTGGCTCTTGGAGCTGCCAACACCGGTGCCATTGCCTTAGAAAGTCCCTTGAAGAGGCTGGTGGCAGAGACCTTGACACTGCTCTCCGCTCATCGGACTCTGCTGATCGGCGAAGGGGTAATTTTCTTTTTGAGTCCCATAGCCTTTAGAAGGCATCCATAGTTCTCCGTGCGGTTAATGTTTAAAGATCTGTCCATGAAAGTATGAGTGTTAGCAATAGGTGATGGGTGACCATTTCACAATCATTTTATTACGAGATGAATGCTGGAGTGCTTTACAAATGAATATATTTCCTTTCCTTTTCAGAACCTGATGATTCCTACTCCAGGACATAAAAATGTAAGTTAAATTACGATAGCATGAATAAGTGAATTGCATATTTTAGGCTATAAAACAATAGTTATCATTGGAACTGCTTATATTCTATGTTTTGTTTTTATGCGTGTGATGTGAATGTGTGTACTCATAGATATTAGGAATGACTTTATAACAAGTAGAATCCATTAAACAAGGCCCTTTGGGGAAGTTGTCAGGTAAGAGGTGCCTCCTCATCTCCATTCAACTCTGACTATCTACTGCTTTCCTCACTTTAATGTCTTTTTGAAAGTACTAGCAACTTAGGGTAATACTTTTAGAATCTTCGTCGGTACACGTACAATGAATGCTCTATATTAACAGTCATTTTCACATTTTAAAGTGATCATGACATGTAACAGAATTGCATGCATTTGGAGTATGTCATGGTCATACTAAAATGTAAAATATATTATTTCATTAGTCTGAGTAGAACAAAATAACCAGCTAGAACTATGAAAGGAAACTCTGATATGAGGTCAATCATTATGCTTCTTAAACATTGCATTTTTGGTTAAGTACTTTATATCATCTGTAACACTCCTCGTTAGTTAAGTAAACCTCACCTACTTTTAGAAATTATATTCCAATATGAGTAGGTTCCATCTAGAAAACCAACAAGTGAAAAACTCTTTGGAAAAGGAAACTCATGTAAACACCACAAAACAAAGTCTAGCTTTTTTGGACCAGTGTTTTAGATCTTGATTTGCTTACTTATATTTTTTTAAATCTTCTTCATTTAGTACCAACTGTGTATTGAAGAAGTCTTTCAGGGGATAGACACACTGAGGAATCAAACTGCAGAAGGGAACGCCGTGGAAAAACTGTTCCAAAACTTGTCTTCAATAAAAGACTACATAGATGGCGAAAAAGTAAGTGAAAAACATTTAGTAGAAACTTAAGCCTATTTGTCTGGCTGGGCCTATTTTTACAGGAATTGACAGGTTTCTACAATACCTCTTGTCTGTTCTTTTTCACAGAAAAAGTGTGAAGGGGAACGGTTGAGAGTAAAAAAGTTCCTAGACTACCTGCAAGTATTTCTTGGCGTGATAAACACTGAGTGGACAATGGAAAGTTGAGACTCAACGGGCTTGTGGTAGTGATAAAGGATGTTTTATTGCCATGAGAATGAGGGCCAACCAAGGGCAGGGCCTTCCTCTTCAGTGTAATTAAGCTTCCGAAGCAAAGTAGCAAGCATTTCAGGCGTACTGCTGCTTCACTACCTCACCTAGGAGGCAGAAAACATCAAAACAAAACAAAATATTCTAGATATATTTCAGATTCAGGAATCAGGAAAGTATTCGCTCCAGCCCAAATGGTTGTATACTTTTTTTCTTTTATCTTATTTAAATACAACATTTTGTAAAATGTCTATTAACTTAATATTATTTATGAAATCACTAAGAATGTGGAAAATTACTATTTATTTCATGTCAGGCTGTGTTCCAATAAAACAAAAATAACAACTCTGGTTCAATTTGTTGCTGGCCTTTGTCTTATTCTTGAAGTGAGCACAAGACTGTGTGAGAACAGGCTATGTGCGGAGGGAGGGCCTGCATGGGTGCTAACATGTTAGGTTGTAAAATTTGTGGGGGTGTGTGTGTAATTTATTTATTCTGTAAATTGTGATAAAATAAGGATGTAAAATATTTAAAGCCGAACTCTCTGATCATTAACCTATTAACATGGCTGCTTTGTCTGGATAACATGCTACAGGCCCCCTTAGTTGACCTTCAGAGCCTTTCTAATTGTCTTCCATGAACTTTTCTATGTCCCCAATTATATTTAGAGTGAACCTACAAATTTTATCTGCTGAATTCCCTCCCATCAATCTGTTAAAAATGCATCAAGTTTGGGGACATACATATAATATTTCCCTATATAAATACTGGTAGACAAGCAATGTATTGAAAGGTATATATGTTCCATGGAGAAATGTTCTGTGCAGAAAACATTCATTGGGGAGACATTTCAGAGGAAGTGCTAGGTCTGATTCTTCCTGGGACACCCCAAGAATTTCCACCCCTTTGCCCACACTGACTCAGTACATCAGTCTTGCCCCACATAGGGAACATGGAATTATCTCCTAGGTGGTAATTCCTCTCTGTGAGCTCTCATCGTCCAGCTCAAATGCTTCCTTCTTGATTCCTTCCCTGCCTAGCCTCGCAGTATTAGTTGCTCCTTTCTCAATGTCCTGCATTACTTTGAACATTTCTCTATCAGAGTTCTTGTTTTTATATTGCAGTGTTTCCAGGTACATCTTATACATCTCTGCACATGTATCAGTCTGCATAGTCCAGGCGATGCTGCAGTAACAGATCATCTCTAAATTTTGGGATGTGTCTAAGAAACAAACTTTGGGGACACAACCTAAGTTTGTTTCTTAGTTAGTCACACAGAGTCTACTGTAGTGTGGTCCTGGGCAACCCTTCAGAGCAGTTGTCCACATCCTGGCTCTGCAATCCAGGATGTTTCCATCTTACGATGCTCAGGCAACCAGAGCAGGTGCCTGTGAAGCAATCTTCCTCCAAACAATTTTTCCCAGAGTCCAGTACAGAAGCCAAAAAATTCCACGAGACTAGCTACCTCTGAACAGAGGAACCAACGCTCAGAGCCTGGATATGGCTCCATTCCCTTCCTTCCTCTCACCACAATGCAAGATTTGCTCCTAGACAAGGTCAGCCCAGGCCCTGGCAAGCAGGCACCAGGCGGAAATGGCTCAGGTGCCTCTGATATCTGAACAAACACTGAGATGGAGCCGTCCGACTTGGCTACTTTCACGCGGGAAGACCCCGGCCCTCACCTCTATTGTATAACCGCAAAGCTTCCTGGAGGGCCTTCAGAGAACAACTTCCCCCCGCCCAGTCCAGCTCTGCCTTGCTGACAATCTAGCGGGGTTGGAGTTCAGTGAGCACTGCATTCACTTGGTAATCTGCCACGACAAACCCGCAGGCTGGGTGGCTTTGACAACAGAGCTTTATTTTCGCACGGTTCTAGCAGGGTTGGTTTCCTCTTCACGTTTCTCCGTGGCTGACAGATGGCTGCCTCCTCATTGTGTCCTCACAGGTTCTTCCCTCTGTGTGTGTGCATCCCTGGGATCTCTCTGTGTGGATTTATCTCCCTTTCTCATGAGGGTACCAGTCGGATTGGATAAGGGCCCACCCTAGAGACCACATTGTCGCATACCTCTTTAAAACCCTTATTTCCAAACACAGTCAACATGATGAGGTACTGAGGGCTAGGGCGTCAGCACGTGAATTTGGGGAGGATACAATTCCATCCATAATATACACCAAAAGGAAGCATTTCCTCAGGCACTTGGGGATGATACAGGTGTCCACCTGCATGAGGAGCAGACAGGTCGCATGTCTCCTTCTTCTCTATTTTAGGAACACACAGAGGTTAGAAAAAGCAGGTTGTGCCTCTGAAAACAAAATGCTGCTGGGCCAGCAGGGCTCGGTGATTGAGCACCGATCTATGAACCAGGAGGTCACTGTTCGATTCCCGGTCAGGACACATGCCCGGGTTGCGGACTCGATCCCCAGTGGGGGGTGTGCAGGAGGCAGCCAATCAATGATTCTCTCTCTTCGTTGCTGTTTCTATCTCTCTCTCCCTCTCCCTTCCTCTCTGAAATCAATAAAAATATTTTTCAAATGAAAAAGTGCTGACACATGTGGAAAACCAGTTCAGGAGGCCCAGGGTTTTCTGACATAGGGTAGCACGAACAGTCACACAAAGTAGCCTTGGCCAGGACCTCTGAGGCAGGGCAGGTACGCACCATGGCACCCTGGGAAGTGCCCAACCCTAGACCCAGCAGCTTCACTCCCTTGTGGGCCATAGAAATTGATCTTAAGAGCAGCCAGAAAGAAAAGATATATTGCCTACAAAGGAAATGCAGTAAGACTGACAGCTGAGGCCTCAACAGCAAAACACAGAAGACTGGTGACAGCAGAATGTTATCTCAAGGCTGAGGCGGGGAAATGGCTAACTTAGCATTCTGTGAAGAGTGAACATTTCTTTCAAAAATAAAGATGAGCCGAAATCGGTTTGGCTCAATGGATAGAGCGTCGGCCTGCGGATTGAAGGGTCCCAGGTTCGATTCCGGTCAAGGGCATGTACCTTGATTGTGGACACATCCCCAGTAGGGAGTGTGCAAGAGGCAGCTGATCGATGATTCTCTCTCATCGATGTTTCTAACTCTCTATCCCTCTCTCTTCCTCTCTATAAAAAAAATAAAAATCAATGAAATATATTTTTTTAAAATAGACTTTATTTTTAGAGCAGTTTTAGGTTCACACAAAACTGAGCAGTAACTGAGAGATTTCCCAGATGCCTCCTGCCGATACACACATAGCCTCCCTCATGATCTCTTAACACTCTGCATTAAGATGGTACATGTGTTATAATCCATGGACCTACACTGACAAGTCATTATCACCTAAGGTCCACAGTTTACATTAGGGTTCACTCCTAGTGTTGTACATTCACTCTTAGTGTTGTTCATTTCCAAAACATGGGTTTTGGAAAATATATAATGGCATGTCTCTGCCGTTATAGTATCATACAGAATAGTTTTGCTGACCTAAAATCTGTCTATGTTTCACCTATTTATTCCTTCCTCCGCCCTCCTGCCTGGACACTATTAATGTTTTTGCTATTTTCATAGTTTTGCCTTCTCCAAATATCATATCATTGGAATCATGCAGAATGTAGCTTTTTCATGTTGGTTTCTTCAGATGCACTGAAGATTCCTCCATTTTCACGGCTTGATAGCTCATTTCTTTCAACACTGAATAATATTCTATTGTGGATGTATATCACAATTTATTTGTCCATTCACCTGCTAAATGACATTATGGTTGTTTCCATGTTTTGACAATTATAAATAAAGGCACTATAAACATCCATGTGCAGGTTTTTGTGTGAATATAAGTTATTGGTTTATTGATTGTTGAAATGTTAAGGGTATGTTTCATTTTTCTAAGGAACTGACAAACCAAACTGTCTTCCAAAGTGGCTCTACCATTTGGCATTCTCATCAGCACCTCCTTGCCAACACTTGGTGTCAGCATTTTGGATTTTGGCCATTCTAATATGTGTGTAGTGACCAATATCTCCTTGTTTTAATTTGAAGTTCCATAATGACATATGATGTGGAGCAGCTTTTCATATACTTATTTGCTATCTGTATATCTTCTTTGAGGAGGTATCTGTTCATGTCTTTTGCCCATTTTTAAAGCTAAGTTAAAAACATTATCAATAAGCTCTCACTACAAGGACTTTGATAAATTGTACTCCTGGAAGGAGAAAAACCATCTCAAAAAGAATACAAGAAGGAATTACACAGTTTATAGTTTTATACAGCATGATGTTATCTTCCTCCAGAAACGCTTTACTTACTTCCGGCGTGCAATTAGGGTAAGAACAGATAATCTTAATTTAGTCTGAGATACAGCTGCTGGAAAGCTGGGTTTGCTTTTAAAAGACTGGCCTACTTTGGTTCTTAACTTAGAGTATAACTCTTCAGGAGTCCAGATGGGAAGCTTAGCAGAAACCCCTCCCAGTTGGGATCCCCGAATTCCCATTTTGTTCCTCTATACCAGTGGTCAGCAAACTCATTAGTCAGCAGAGCCAAATATCAATAGTACAACGATTGAAATTTCTTTTGAGAGCCAAAATTTTTAAACTTAAACTTCTTCTAATACCACTCCTTCAAAACAGACTCGCCCAGGCCGTGGTATTTTGAGGAAGAGCCACACTCAAGGGGCCAAAGAGCCACATGTGGCTCACGAGCCTCAGTTTGCCCACCACGGCCTGAAAACTTGCTGTATCCACCGTTCCCAACCACAGCTTTTCTCTCAGCTTCTCAACCTCCAGATCACAGCTTTCCAATCTGTAAATGCCTCAAGGCGAAAAGCTATGCCAACTGCCAGGCTTGCTTCTACGCTTTCCTTCTAAGAACTTAGTCTCTTAAGTCTTCATTGCTATGTTAGTCCTCTGATTCTTTCAAGCAGATTTTTAAAACTATTTGACAAGCTCTCCTGATTGTTCTTAACTAGAGGGCTAGTCTGTACTAGCTACTCTGCCATGGCCTGGATTGACTGTGCTGGATTTTGCAGAGACCAGGAAGGTGAGCGGAGGGACCAGCACTCCTGCATGTTCCAGCTGTGGTGGTGGCAACTGCCCAGGAGCACGGTATCGTGGTGTGTGTTGCCTTTGATGTACTATCTTGATCAGGGTTGGGATCACTTCAAGGCCTTCCACTTGAGCCTAACTTCATAGACCCCAGAACCCATGTGGAAGTTCTTCCAGGTGCTAGGAATATTTGTCCTATTTATACAGTAAAGAACTAGGAAAATAATCACAGGATATAAAAACGATTTATGTCACAGCTCCATTTGATTACTTATCCTATACAAGTCCCATTCTAACCATAAAGTCTGAGTGGCATTTAGGTTTTCCAGGTGTTAGTCCTCGTATATATCTATCTTTTTGAAAGTCTGGAAACTCCCTTTACCAGTGCATGGTTATTGTTTTGGTTTCTTTAAATATATTTTTTATTGATTTCAGAGAGGAAGAGAGAGGGAGAGAGAGATGGAAACATCAATGATGAGAGAGAATCATTGATTGGCTGCCTTCTACTGAGGATTGAGTCCACAACCCAGGCATGTGCCTTGACTGGAATCAAATCTTGAACCCACTGAGCCAAACCAGCTGGGCCAGTGCATAGTTGTTCTGATGATGGCTCTAGGTCTCTTTAATAAAGAACGGAAGAAAGTTTACTGCATGTACAAGCAGAGGCACTGTAGGATCCTCCTAGACTTCTGAACTGTGTCTGATCTGGGAAGTGGGGGAAGGACCTTATTTTCTATTGTGGTGGCTGATGTCCGGCCTCTACCCACAAGCTCTTGATTCTATCTAACTACATAGACACTCAATAGCATGTTGATGGATGAGCCATCTCTCTGCCTCTAGAAATACTTTAATGTATTAACCACCACTATACGTCCCTATGCCTTTAAAATCAAGGTTCCCTGGTTGCTACTAGAATCTTACTGCTCAAGTGTTGTTATTTTTTATTTATCAGAGTGACGTCGGTTAATGAAATTATATAGCTTTCAGGTGTACTATTTTAGAATGCATCACCTGTATATTGTATTGTGTTCACCACCCCAAGTCAAACCTCCTTCCATCACTCTTCATCCCCTCGATACCCGCTTCTCGGGTTTTTGTACTCAGATGCTCCTAACCCAGGTCTTGTGGTCCCTCCTTTCCAGATTTAACACAACTATTCTCCTCTGAAGCTCTACAAAGACCTGCCCATGGTCAGACTCTGCCACATTTTCAGTTCAGTCTTATCTGTAGCTCCAGGAGACAGGGCCTCCTTTAAGGTTTCCACAGAAGTCTTCTCACTCTCAGAGCACACCTGAACTTGGGATGAGATGACCCTGAGCCACTCATTGTCTTCGGTAAAGTCTCCAGTGCCGTCAGAAGAGTTACTGTATCCTGTAATCCTTATAATGAACATGGTTCCACATGTGTCCCACCACTTTCTTTATCTTCCATTGTGTTTCTCTCCATCTGCCCTTCATCCAAAAGTAGAGTTAAAAGCTTAAGAAATGGAAAAGCCACTGAATGCCAGAAGTTATCGCCAACCTACTTTATCCTCAGCAATAGGTTCCTGTTATTTTATAAACATATTTTATTGATTTTGTACAGAGAGGAAGGGAGAGAGCTAGAGCTAGAAACATCGATGAGAGAGAGTCATCGATCAGCTGCCTCTTCCACACCCCCTACTGGGGATATGCCTGCAACCAAGGTACGTGCCCTTGACCGGAATCGAACCCGGGTCCCTTCAGTCCCCAAGCTGATGCTCTATCCATTGAGCCAAACCGGTTTCGGCTGGTTCCTGTTATTTTAAAGATGTGAGCAACCCATAATAATAACAGTGTAATGTGCTAATTAGATCGGAGGTCCTTCCAGACGAAGCTGGGGCTGCGAGGGAAGCCCAGTCCCACGCACCTGCCTGTGGCCAGAGGGAAGCGGTGCTGGCAGCCAGGCAGGAAGACCTACTCTTGCACGGTGTTCGTGCATCAGGCTTCTAGTGCAATTGTAAGATGTCATTCCACATTGTCATGGCCCAGGTCCCCTCAGAAAGCCAAACTAGCCAGTGCTAGGCATTGTAACTTTCCATATGTGTTATGACAACTTCCCAAATGGAATTAGTGTCTTGAAGAAGAGGCTTCTTTTTCCTATTTGCACGGGCTTCATATGGGCTAGTGGTGGCCCTGGATATTAACTCCATTTCTATTAAAAACTGACTTAAGGGCCTGGCTTTCCAGTAAGGTATATGTAGGGCTAATTAATATGAGGATTGTAACGGAGGAAACAAAATTCATATATATAAATGTAATGCATATTCACGTAGATGATAAAATATGACAAAAATAAAACGCAAGAGAATGTAGAGCCAGTCAAATGATTAAAAGGAAACAGTTTAGCCAAAACTGGTTTGGCTCAATGGATAGAGCGTTGGCCTGCGGACTGAAGGGTCCCAGGTTCAATTCCGGTCAAGGGCATGTACCTTGGTTGTGGGCACATCCCCAGTGTGTGTGTGTGTGTGTGTTGGGGGGGAGGGGGTGTGTGCAGGAGGCAGCTGATTGATGTTTCTCTCTCATTGATGTTTCTAACTCTCTGTAAAAAATCAATAAAATATATTTAAAAAATAAAATAAAATAAAAATAAATAAATAAATAAATAAAAGGAAACAGTTTTAGCAAATTGCTGGATCATATACCAAGTCAGTTACACACATCACCAACAAATAGCAATGTAATTTTAAATATATTTATAATACTTACAAAAAATGAGGTGCCACAAAAAAATAAATCTAATAATGTGGAAAATTTTTTAACTTTATTGAGAGACATTACAAAAACTTTAACATATTTAGAGACCTTCTGTACTATGTCCATGGATAGGAAAACCAATACTGTAATTTGGAATCTGATCTATAAGTTTAATGTAACTCATATTAAAACCTCAATGATCATGGTGCTTACTAAAATGTACATGGGCCCAGCTGGCATGGCTCAGTGGTTGAGAGTTGACCTATGAACTAGGAAGTCATGGTTCAATGCCCATGTTGTAGGCTAGATATCCAGTAGGGGGTATGCTGGAGGCAGCTAATCAATAATTCTCTCTCATCATTGATGTTTCTTTTGAGCTAGAAACGTCGATGAGAGAGAAACATCGACCAGCTGCCTCTTGCACACCCCCCACCGGGGATGTGCCCGCAACCAAGTACATGCCCTTGACCGGAATCGAACTGGGACTTTTCAGTCCGCAGACCGACGCTCTACCACTGAGCCAAACTGGCTTCGGCCATCATTGATGTTTCTATCTCTTTCTCTCTTTCCCTTCCTCTCTGAAATCAATAAAGATATATTTTAAAAAAGAAAAAAATGTACATGGAAGAATGTGGGCCCAAGAATGGACAATACAATCCTAAAGAAGGTCAAATTGAAGAATGTGTGCTAGTAGATATCAAGCTTTAGTAATTTGATCAGTGTGGTATTGACATAGGAGTAGAGCAGTGATTCTCAACAAAGGAGGACTACCCCCTCTCCCGGGAAACATTTGGCAATTTTTAGTTGTCACAACTGAAGAGTAGGGAGTGGATGCTATTGACATCAGTGGGTAGAGGACAGAGATGCTACTAAACAATACAGAGCTCCATAACAAAAAATTATCCCATTTAAAATGTCAATAGGATGCTCTAGCTGATTTGGTTCAGTGGATAGAGCTTTGGCTTGTGGACTGAAGTGCCCTGGGTTTGATTCCCGGTCAAGGGCACATAATTCATTTGCAGTTTTGATCCCCAGCCCTGGTCGGGGCATGAGCAGGAGGCAGGTGTCTCTCTCACATCGATGTTTCTCTCTCTCTCTTTCTCCCCCTCCCTTCCACTCTAAAAATTTCAAATGGAAAAATATCCTCGGGTGAGGATTAATAAAACAAAACAAAGAAATAAATAAAATGTCAACAGTGCCACGGTTGAGAAATCCAGGGGGTAGAGATAGACCAACTTAATATATATATGAGATTGGGGTGAACATATCCAGCTGGAAACAGCTGGAATATTCATATTGGGTAATTTGAGGAGAGTTTATTATTTAACAAAGGGGCCATTATACAAATGAGAATAGGGTGTAGAGAAACCAAGAGGAAAAATGCAGCCTCCTGGGGCTAATAGAAGCTATAACAGGACAGGGAATAGCTACTAAGACTCAGAGTGCAGAAAGGGCCTCTGACAGGAGCCAGAAACTTTAGTAAGGGGCGGCCAGCCTGCAGCAACCTCGCAAGGAGACAGCTGGGAGGACAAATACCGGACTTCACTTACCTTTGCCTGACAGCACTGCTCATGGCCAAATCCAATGAGGAGCCCATGACCAAAAAAACCATTCACCTATTCCAGACAGGTCTGCCTCCCCTCCCAGGACACAGGCAAGGCTAAACAAGGGTTGGGAGCAAATCTGAAGAAGCAAACAGGAGCTCTCCAGCCAAATGGAAAGGTTTTATAAATAAATCACCCAAATTTAACATCCATCAAGTTTACTATAAGGAGAATGAAAAGATAAGCTGCAAGTGAGAAGAAATGTATATCACTATAAATGACAAAGGAGTAGTTTCCAGAATGTGTAACAAAGTCCTCCTAATCAATAGGAAAAAGATATAATAACCCACTAGAATTTTTTTTAAAGGTAAATGACATGAATAAGCATTTCTTAGAACAGGAAACACAGATGGCCAATAAACATATACAAGGAGATGTTCAACCTTGTTAGTAGTCACGGAAATGCAAAATTAAACCACAGTGAGATAACATTTCACACCCACTAAACAGGCAAAAATGAAAAAGTCAGATATTACAAATTTTGCCCCGGAAGTGAAGTCAAATGAATTCTTATATGTTGTACGAGGGACAATGAATTGGTACTTTTGACATGAAGTGCCTAGTGAAATGGGAGATGCGTGTACTCTGTAACCCAGAATTCCAATCTGGAGTGCATTTCAAAAAATTCTTGCACTTGTGTATCAGGAAATGTAAGCAAGGATGTTCCTCAAAGCATTGGTATTTATTTATTTGTTTGTTTGTTTGTTTTTAAAATATATTTTATTGATTTTTTTTTTTTTTTTACAGAGAGGAAGGGAAAGGGACAGAGAGTTAGAAACATCAATGAGAGAGAAACATTGATCAGCTGCCTCCTGCACACTTCCCACTGGGGATGTGCCTGCAACCAAGGTACATGCCCTTGCATGGAATCGAACCTGGGACCCCTCACGCCGCAGGCCGATGTTCTATCCACTGAGCCAAACCCGATAGGGGACAGCATTGGTTTTTAAAAAGGAACCCTTTTTATAATATGGAGTGTGAACTGTAATTAAAAATTTTTTTAAATAACCTTTTTGTTTTAGAATAATTTTAGATTTACAAAAAATTGTGAAGAAAATAGAGTCCCCATACAGTCGGCACCCAATTCTCCCTATTATTTTACCTTACATTTGTGTGGTAGGTACCTTTGTCACATTAATGAACCAATACTGATACATTATTATTATTATTATTACAGTCTATACCTTATTCATATTTCCTCAGTATTTACCTCATGCCCTTTTTGCAATATTGTTTTTAATAGCTAAAACTGAAAAAAAAAATTCCTTAAATATCCATAAATTTAAAATAGATTCATAAACTGTGGTTTATTTGCCCACTGGGTTATATAGTAAGGCAGATCCAGGAGCGAGAGTAAGTGAAGGTACAGCTGTATGGA